CTCTCTCTCTCTCTCTCTCTCTCTCTCTCTCTCTCTCTCTCTCTCTCTCTTTTACGGTCTGCATTTCTCTAAAAAATCGTTTTTTCTCTTTCATTATCTCTTTCTCCTTTGTCTCTATCTTTCTTTCACATTATCTATTTATTCTCCCTCTCTCTCTGTCTCTATCTCACTACCCTTTTCTCCATCTATCATCTCTATACCTCAAAATGTGTTTCTTTGTTAATCTCTCGTTGCCCTCCAACATTTCTCTTCTCACTCTGTCTTTCTCTCCCGTTTCATTAAATTACTTTAGATAATTATATTGTTTTCAGCACCTCTTTGATTTTTGTTTCTCACCCTCCCTCCTTTTCTCACATCTAATAAGCACCTAGCTTATCATAACCCTTTCCGACTACAGAGTGAAGGTATCCCAACTAATTGTGTGTAGCTGCAATCCATTGTTTAGGTCTGACAAAAGTTCACTTGGTGGTCGGAAGACTCTGTAAAGCAAGACAGCCTGGAAGGCATACACACACACACCTCATCTCACACCTACATGTGTCTAATTAATGAGTGTGCCTATTTGTTAGTCAAAGTATGAGAGTTCGGGTTTGGCATCAACAACATCTGTAGCTGCACTTTTCAATGGGACTGAAGAGCATTTAATTACCTCGCAAGAGGAAGAAGTAGGGGCTGGTGGAGGCATGTGGCAGCTCGTTGATGGTGGCGAGTGGCAGGTGGCGTGTGGCATGTGGCATGTAGATACACTTAATTACAGTTAATGCCAAAGTGCCTCATTGTATGTTAATTTAGTTTATGTGCAGTTTATGCAAATTTCGGCACACACAACTCACATGGCAAATACGTTTATGATCCATCCATGTTTATAGCGTACGAACATAGAGGAATCCAGAGAGCTAATTGCAATGCTCTGTGGTGCATTCATAAATTTGCCAACTGCTTTTATATTATTATTATGTTTTATGTATTTATGCTCGCTCGTGTGTGTGTGTGTGTGTCCAATGGCCATAGGGGCATTAGCCTCTTGAATGCGTTCCTAAGCCAGAAGCCAGGATCCAAGCGTTGCCCATTGTCTGGCCGGGTGGCGCGGGGGGGCGTCAGCACAAGCGAACTGTGGCAGACACAAAGAAAGCGTATGGAAGCGTTTGTCTGGGTCTTCGACTCCGACGACGACGACGTCGAGACAAACTCCCGACTGGAGTTCGGGTTCGCTAAACTCCCAAATAAGAAAACTAAACCAAGTTGCGGGCAACATGAAAACTTAGACCGGCTGATACCCTGTATTTTTGATTCTCTTTCTCCTTCAACTACCCTGTGTTTCGTTAACTATCTTCTCTTCTTATCTGCAAGGTAATAAATCATTTTAGTTTTTTCTATACATTTACATATGCGCTGCTCTATCCTTATACCTATCATGCCCTACCCGTCCTCCGATTTGCAGGATATTACCGCAACAATAACAAAGATAGCATAAAGCATTTGCAACCGTTCATCTGTTTATCATATGCCTTTCGGTTGCTGCAGCAGTTTCCTCTCTCTCTCTCGCTCTCTCTCTCTCTCTCTCTCTCTGTCCTGGCTAAGGCATTTCAATTGTCCTGGGCTTGTGCCAGGACATCGTTAGTGTTAATGTAGTTGTTTGCTGCTTATGCTTTCACCTGCCGACAGCTCGAGCATTTGACATTTTATTATGCAGCCGCACTCCGTTCAGCTCTATTCAGTTATTCCATTTGAAGCTGTCGCCTTCGGTCGCAACGACTCGCCTGGGCGCAATTAGATGTTTCGGGTATTGCGCATACGCCACGTTGGCTGCTCTTCACAAAATGCCAAGTTTGGTATGTTGTAAAAGTAAGAGTGCTCCTGATGGGGCTGTCTGGGTGGAAGATGATGATAGTGAACTGTTGCCTAAAGGAAAGAGTTTCTAATATTTCGGGAAGCGATATGCATAAACAGATATTATTCTTTATCTATCTGTCTATATCTATGTATATACATACATATCTATCATTCTCCATTGTCCATCCATTCCATTCCATTCCATTTTGCATCTTTTGTCCTCCATTTTCCATCGTACACCTTTAATCTTTTATCTTTCATTTCCATCCATCTTCTATTTTTTACCTTTTATCATCTTCCATCTTTGATCTTCCATCCTCCATCTTCAATCTTTAATCCCCCATCATATCACATCTAGTTTTTAACACACTCCACATAGATGTTCCGAAGCTAATATACCCTCTTTAAAGATTTACGATTGCATGCGTAAGTCCCCATTGTATCCCTTTTTCTAGAGCGGAAATTAAATGAAATGCTATTAGACGCTCTACTTGCAGCATCTGTGGCGCGCATAAACTTCCAAATCTTATTCTAATTATGATAGATAGCTGTGCGAGGCACGCAGAGTGCCGCACGAAGTGGCATGGAGTCATGAAGCTGTTGCAGGTGCATGCCATCACTTGGCCGCTTGTCAACTCGAATGCTAGTCGAAAATAGATATGTC